TTTCCAGTCTCTGGCAATGACCCTCCTGGGCCAGGCCAGCAAAGCTGTGTGAATTCATGGCTTTGTAAACTGAGATGAAGCATCCTTCCACGAGGTGACTTCTCCCACAGGTACCTGCCCATCTCAGCAACAGGGCTGGCACTCTTGGTGGAAGGACAGGGTCACTGCTCCAGTGTGGGGCCTGGCAGTCATGGTACAGAGGCTGGTCCCTGGCCTGGGCTTGCTGCCCTCTGTGGGCCCAGCCTACCTCTGTCCTAGGGGTCCATCAGATGGAGGTGGGTCCCCCGAGATCATCTGCAGCCCCCACCCTGGTCTGGCCGCTTGTGTGTTGTAGGAGTGAGGAGGGCGTGGGGCTCAGGGGAGGGCAAGATGACGACCCTTCCCTGGACCAAGGAAGGCGCAAAGTGCTGACAGTGCTGGTTCCAAGTCATTCCCTGTCTCCTGCAGGGACCAAGCTCCAGGCTACAGAAGAGCCAGGGGGCTCTGAGGAGAAAGGTGATGGGCTTTTCGGGTGGGGAGGACGGGGGCAGGGAGTAGACAGGAAGAGGAAGCAGGTGGTCACCAGGACTGACCACGCCTGGCCCCATGGGCAGTTTGGCACATTGCACTTGAGCTGTTGGCAGCAAGCGCCTGGTGAGGGTGAAGGAAAGGCACCCGGTCCAGCTGACGAGCTCTGTCCCAGGGGTGGCCTGCTCGCCCAGCCATCCACCCACCTGCAGACCAGGCCTGAGCGGTTCCTGCACACTTGCTCAGCATGAGAATGCCTGGATTTCTTAGGTGACTTGTGGAGGGTTCAGAATAAAAAAATATTTTCTGTTCAAATGTGAAGGGAAAAAAAACCCACCTTAAAAAACTAGACCTTTTAGGAATGTGGAATTGAAAATGTGCCCCAAATCTTGTTTCCACAGTGTGTGAACAGTCCTGAAGGAGGCGCCATGCCAGTGAGGTGAGCTGGGGCTGATTAGTGCAAAGCCCCCTCCCCCGGCACCCCAGACAGGAGGCATCTGTTGGTGTCCCCATCTCCTGGAGCAGATATGGGGGTATGGGGACATCATCGAGGGCTCCCTCTGGTAGGCTTATGCTCTGGTCACATCTGAGAATCTTCCTGACAAGGGAGACAGCTGTGACACGTTGCGAGAGTAGCCAGGGCTGATGGCAAGTCCAGCTGGGATGGCTGAGCTGAATCCGCACCCCAAGGTCTCCGGGGTGGGGACAGGAGACTGGGTTAGGTGAGCGTATTCTGTTCTTGGTACTTGCGCCGGCGGGCACAGCGGGGGCAGCCCTTTTTCACCACAGCCTGGCAGCTCTGGTGGAAGACGGTCTTGCATTCGCCACACCTGGGAGAAAGCAGCAAGTACATCTTGTGCCAACGTGCCAGAAGCCTCCCTGGGGCCTGAGGCCAGCCAGTGTTCGTGACCAGAGCCCACAGGCAGGCTGTGCTCTACCCACAACCCCAGGCAAGCAGGCACCACTTCTCCCTCCCGGGACAAAAGATTCTTGCAGCAGCGGTTACCCTAGGTCACGCGATGCCTGCTGGTACTATTTCATTTTTGCATAAATGCTGCTGAGACTCAGTAACTGACTTCTTCCTGTGTTTAAGACACTCTGCAGTGTGTCAAAAACTCAGCTCTAGTAATGTTTAGAGGCTGAATCTGGGACAGGGGACACCCCCTGAAAATGAAGAAATGCTCCCGCCAGTTCAGGCTTCCACTCCCACATGGGCTGGAATGGAGGTTTGAGGGATGAATTTGTCCATTTAGAG